GGGGTGTTTAGGCAAACTATTGCCTGTAAGATGAAGAGATTATGACGCGATAACCTGTGATTCACATCTCCTTAGTGATGAAGCAATGTCTTTAATCATTCCAGAAGGTCTAAGGAAAATGATGAACATGACAAAAGGATTTAGGTGAACCCTTGAATGTCTTCGATTGAGGGGTTCTTTCCTCGTCATCTGGTGTCATTTTTACTAGCTGAATGAACCAGAGGTGATGTGGTAAAAACAGCTACCTATGATCTACTGGAACTTGGGAAAGATGGGGTCAGCAAGCGGTTAGAATTTCGCGTTCACTGCATGGATTAGGGAATAAATACTATTTTTGATATTATTCAGCTAAGCTGCACTTTTGTATTTGATTTTAATGCATAATTTTAATTCTTGGAAAGTTTATCAGCTGTCTTTGACATTGACAACTTTTATTGCAGGAAGGTCCTCGGACATTGGTTGGAGTTGCTACATTTGACTCAACTATCCACTTTTACAATCTCAAGCGTGCATTACAGCAGGTTTGACACATTCAGATGAGTTTGATTATGCTAAATTAAGCTTTAACATCTGAAATTAAAAGGAGCTTTGAAATCAGTGTTGAATCTTAATCAGTTATCTTTGCCTTTTTCTCTTTGTGTGCTAATGATGAATTGACAATTACTTTTAAGGGGAAGAATGCAAAACTAGTGAAATGGTTCTTGTTGGATTTCAGGAAGGTGTTGCCCAGATGATTAACTTAATGCATATCTGAAAGAATTTCTATAAAAAACTGTGTTTTTTCATATCATCTAACAGAATTTCTATAAGTGAATAAAAATAAACAAAATCTTTAACCAAGACATCTGGGGAGAGGGAGTTAGCAGCACTTACTAAAACAAAGTAAATTTGTCCTTATTCATTTTTCTTGTCTTGTCTGTGATTAAGTCATAGGGTGGTAGGAAAAAAATATTAGCCTTCACAAAAGAGTTACTTTATTGCCCTTCTAGACTTCTCTGCCTTAATTACCTGCTTGTCTCCTTTACTGCCTAATTGCTCTATTGTGCTTGATTATGCAGTTCTCTCTTTATTCTTCCTGGTATATTTGGATTCTATTTCACTCATGCCATTCTTCTCCGATATGATTTGTTCGTTGTTCTTTTGAAATAGATTCTAAAATGGAATTAGGGTTGTGGAAAATGGTTTATGTTGGTGAAGTGCCTGTTTTCTGATAAGTCTATTCTGGATCTACCTTTGCAGCCATTGATGCTTATAGTCCCTGATGTCCAAGATGTTTACACCCCCCTTCAAACCGATGTTATTGTGCAGCTCTCGGAGGTTAGTTCTGCATGATGTTGACCAACTTTCTGTTCATTTTCCCCTTAAAGCGAAACGACTAAGAATTTCAGTGCATCATGTGAATGTGGTTGCTCGGTTGTGTTTTCAGTGCCGTCAGCACCTAGAGCTTCTCCTAGAAAGCATCCCAACAATGTTCCAGAATAACAGGACTGCTGATTCAGCTTTTGGGGCTGCAGTCAAGGTACCAATGCTTTACATGAAGTTAGTTTCCCAAGTTGTATTTGATCACACATCCACTTGTTTTATATTGCCTCATTGATCCATAGATGGAAAAAGTATTTTCTGCATTCCTTCTAAAATGTGACTAGTTAGCTCACCACGGTTGCGTGAGACTTTTCCATTCTGAGAAAGAGATTGGAAAATTTATTATTGTGTTGTTGCATGCAGATGAATGATTGCAAGTATAACCATCAATCTGATGGTCAATTGATTCTTACTTTGCGTTTTGTTACTTCAGGCTGCTTTCTTGGCAATGAAAAGCACTGGAGGCAAACTTCTTGTGTTTCAATCAGGTAAGGTGTTAAGTGCAGTGAACTATAAGTATCATGTACAACCTTCTGTGTCTAAAATCAAGACTATATCTTTCTCCGCGTGCTTGTGTTTAAAATGTTTTAGCTCTGATTTCTCCCTCTCTTGTTTGCAGTACATTGCTGATTGACTGTTTTGCTTTTATTAATTTATGCTCAACTTCGGTGTCCAATGCAAGCTGCTTAAATAGGATGATCCATAAAAGGATTGCTTTCTATGGCACTGTCCGGTGGTTTTAATATTGAAGTATTACTAGGATAGCTATGTTTGGATTGTATTTTCAGTAAATTCATGGTTTTGAAACTCTCATCAAATATTTGGACTGAATACTTTGTAAAATAGAAGCATGCTTTAGGCAATTGTCTTATAATTCCTTTTTTCTCCTTCACCTGGTGCATCAACAAGTTCACAAGTCCTATGATGTTATATTTCTTGGAAATGTTCTGTTGCATGAGCTGGGCACCTTTGACCACACAAATTGTTATACATTTCTAAGTGTTGGATGTACTTGCTATTTTTATAGTCCTGCCATCTACTGGTATTGGAGCCCTTTCTGCTAGAGAAGCTGAAGGAAGAACCAATGTATCAGCTGCAGAAAAGGTAAATTTGTTGAACCAGTTTTTAGTTCAGCATGTATCCGTCCTTTAGCTGAAGCTTTTTTCGCTTAAGTTTTCTTGTTCTGCCTTTTCCTTGATTGCTAAAGGCTTCTTGCTACTCCACCACTGGTGTCTCTCTTTTAGATTGTTGTGTACCCACTGTCCCCTAGTTTTTGCCTTTATATCATATTTGAATGTCCCAAAACATTGTACATATTTATCATGTTGGCTCTGCCATAAAATTGTCCATATCCAGTGTTGAATACATAGAAACTTCCAGTATGGTCCTTAACATGCATAAGTGTGAGAGCTGTTGTGTTTTAATTGTCAACTTTTATGAAAGGGAAAATAGGAAAATTAAATAGGCATTTCAATTTATTGACATGAAAAATGTCTACTTGAGGTGATGCCAGACACTGTTTAAGAGGAAATGTTCAGTCAGAGTTATGGTAGAAGGAGAAGACGCAGGGCGTGAAAGCTTGCGTCACTAGCACTTGTGTGGGTCTTTTAGAGGGAAAGAAATAGGAGAGCTTTTGAGAGTGTATAAATTAAACTTAATTCAGTTGGGGAGTAGTATTTTATCCCTTCTTTCTTTTTGGTGCACCCATAAGGTTCCCTTTTGTATAGAAGATTGGTTGTCGTTCATAGAAAATCATCTATTCTATTTTTGTAGGTTTTCTACTTTTTGATTTACTTCTCCTATACGGGCATGCTTTTTTGCCCAAACATTAATATAATTTATTACAACAACAACAAACCCAGTATATTCCCACATGTGGGGTCTAGGGAGGGTAGTGTGTATGCAGACCTTACCTCTACCTAGTGAAGGTGGAGAGGCGGTTTCCAATAGACATTAATATAATTTATTACTTTAATAAAAAAAGATATTTCAATTTTTTTTAACAGAAAATGTGAGCACTTTTTTACCAATCACATCAACTCTCTATTTTTGGTTTCAGCACTTCTATCCAAACACGAACTACTTATTCATAAATTCAGCCCAGACACTTGAGAAGTGCTTTCCAGCACTTGATGCTTTTTTCTTATGAGAAGTTAAAGTAATTTAATAGATAAACTAGCATAAAGGGTGTGTTGTTACAACTCTAAAATATCTTCAGAAGCAAAACAACCAAAATATGTCCTTTCTAATCCTGTTGGGCTTCTAACATTTGTAACACTGATTCAACCTCGTCTACATGTCCAATCTACACCAAGAGCAGAACAAAATTATACAGTTAGATTTTATTCATGATAGAGTTAGCAGAGTCTTCAAAACATCTTCTATTTCTTTTAGTCCATTCAGTCCGCCATATGCATGCTGGGATAGCATACCACCACCTGCGCTTGCTCTTCTGTAGCCCTGTTTTATACCAGCCCTTTTCAGCACGTCATGCTTAAAAGCCACTTAAATTCAGCTAGCACAAACGAGCTCTAATTCCTTCTTCAGGTCTATTTTGGCCTTCGGGTGAATATGGTACATTCATATGACTTGGATAAGTGATAAATTTCATCACATGTCTCCAGGAGTAACGTGGATCCGAGTTTTTGTAATGTACATATCCAGCACCAATGTGGCGATGAATAAAACTTTTCTAGCTTATCCCCCAAAAAAAGAAATCATGGTGTTACTTATTCAGAAGAGTTGAATATTTTCCTATTGCAGGAGGCTCACAAGTTGCTTCAGCCGGCTGATAAAACTTTGAAGACAATGGCTATTGAGTTTGCCGAGTATCAGGTGAGTTACAAAAGCCTGTGGAAGAATGATTCATTAAGCACAACTAGAATGTTAAGAATATCTTTGGTCTTTTCATATTATGACCGTTCACATCAATTAATTAGATCTCAACTGCTTCAGGTCTGTGTTGACGTGTTTCTCACAACTCAATCATATGTAGACATTGCCTCCATCTCGGTCATCCCTAAAACTACTGGTGGGCAGGTAACTATTTTAGCTTGTCTTCTCCCCGAGGCCCTTGGTTACGATGCACTTACTGTTAATGGAATTTATGAACATTCTTATTATGCAACTTACGATATATGATAGCCACTTCACTTCATATTCCTTTTGATATCTTTTATATCTAGGCTTGAGCTTTAAGGATGTTTCACTTGTGCCAGGTGTACTACTATTTCCCTTTTTCTGCTCTTGCTGATTCTGCCAAGCTATACAATGATCTTCGATGGAATATCACTAGGCCCCAAGGGTTTGAGGCAGTAATGCGTGTAAGATGTAGTCAGGTATGCTTCCCAGTTTTTGTGTCTTCCTGTGCTTCTTTCATAGAACTAGCAGCAACATACAGCATTTATGGAACTTAAGTGTAAAATTCATGTCGACCGTGTTTCATTTGCAGGGCATTCAAGTTCAGGAGTACTCTGGAAATTACTGTAAAAGAATTCCAACAGATGTTGATCTACCTGCGGTTTGTCTCTCTATCTCTCTACTCCCTCCCCCCTTCGAAGAAGATTATGCACTTCCCAAGCAAAAAGTACAAGCACAACAACTTAAAATGTAATAGATTAACTGTGCGCTTCTGTATTAAGTTCAAAGCATCTGTGGCAGATTTCTTGGGGAATACCAAGCATCCCCATATTATGTTTGACTATAGTTGATAGTTTACTATGAGGCAAAGGTGCAGGCTCAATATTTTTATTTTGTCTGATTCTCTATCGATTCCCTGCCGGATTTTCTAAGTGGATTTCGAACGATGTTGATTTCTCCACCATACAGAGTTTTGTCCTGCCATCTTTTTCAGACTGTCTGTATTAGGTTTTAGTTGATAAATACAAACTTCCACGGTCATTTCTGCTGCTTATTTGCTCTGAATAATTAAGCTTGCCTGTCAATTCCCCTTTTTTGTGTGCATATTACACTGTTGATTCTCCGTTGAATGTGCTAGTGTGACTAACTTCTGAATTGAGTGTATTCATTTCTAAAGGAGCTTTCCATTGTGCAGATTGACTGTGACAAAACAATTATGGTGACATTGAAACATGATGACAAATTGCAGGATGGTTCAGAATGTTCTTTTCAGGTACAAATTTGTTTGCATCTTCAGCAATGAGTTTTTGGTCAATGCTGTTTGCATTGTTTCTGTATGTCTATTTTTCCCTACCCCTGCTCCCTCATTTATTCCTTTTTCTTCCGTGGTGCAATTTGATGGCCATTTACTAGAGCTTGTTTCTGTGTTTCTAGTCTGCCGTTCTTTACACTACTATCGATGGCCAAAGAAGAATCCGAGTGTCAACTTTGGCTCTGCCTTGCACGATCGTGTTGAATAACATGTTTCGAANGGGGGGTTATCTTCTTTTTTTCTTCTCAATCAATCCCCAAATTTTGAAGTGCTAAAATTCCTGGGAAAATTTTATGTCTATAATGTGCTTTCTGCCTCAGTAAGGATCTTTGGTTTCTGCGACTACGCCTCCTTTCCCCTCTTTGTACCAAGATCTTTGACACTTCATTTTTTCTTTTTCTTATAATGTATGCATTTATTTAATTCCGAAATAGCTGCACTGGTTTTGCTCCTTTCTCATATGTGCATAGCCGAGATATATCTAAAATTGTGCGTGGATACCTCCTCCAATTGACCAGGCAGACTTGTCCATGGGCACCATATTGAATCTGATTATTTCTGTAATGGTACTCCCCCGTTTCTATAATCCCCATAACCATTTTTCTGCAGATTTGGAACGAATTGGGGTTGTAAATTTTGTGTCTAGATCTGTGATTTCGGATGCCATGCGAAAGCGAAACCACGGATGAAGAAATTGAGGGACAAAGAAAAATAAGTGTCTTATCAAAAAAGAATTTAAGAAATTTTGCCACTGCTGGAATAAGTAGAGGGAACTGGTGTTTGTAGGATGTCACCTCTTTTATATCTTTTGGCAGACTGGCTAAATGATATTTTCCTTGTTTTCCTCAGGGATCAATTCGTTTGGATGTGTAGGAGAAAATTAATAAACCGTATATTTTGCCGTAGAAATGCATAATTAATTAACTCCTTTTTTTTATTTCACATTTCTTCTTGACTAGTCAACGCCTAACTTGTCACCACTCTTGGCATTTAATGAATTGGTATATGGAATCTAGTCAGCAGCAAATTTGTGCTACTGTACTTAGCTTCCATCTTTATTTCCTTTTTCCTGTGATTTTTCGTCAAAGAAGAATCTATATTGTATCTCACGAGGGCTTAACATCTTGCTCCTCTCTCTCTCTCTCTGCCTCTGCCAGAGGCTAGTACTTTTATTTTTTTTATATGTTAAATCCCTCCTC